TTTGGGTCTGTTTTGTTTTTTAAACTCTGTGAATCTTCCTGAAATAACATGACAATCTGGGAAGTCTTGCTATCTTTTGTTCTGAGGTAGCTGTCCATATTATCCTGCCTTTTGTTTCATGTAGAGCATCTAAACTGGTGAAAATTATTGATTTTCAGTCCTCCTCTTCCAAGGCTGGTGTGTCCCTCTCCATCCTGCTCCAAGATGTGCAGAAACACACAGAGTTGTCTTATGGATATTGAAAGAAGATAATCTGTACCTATAGCAGATCATGTTCTTGAAACACATCTTATTCTCTGTGTTATTCTCCAGGACAAGTCACCATTTTTGCTTTATAAAAATAAATAAATTATAGCAACATAAGGCTAGTAACAGAGACAGTGAAATTGCTGTTGCCTTGCCCAGGTGATTTACTATGGCTTTACTGCCTCTCCACTCTCATGTCAGGCACACAATGAAAAACCCAGGAACTCTAAGAGAACTCTCATAATAGAGACTATTATGAAATTCCTGCTTTGTTTCCTTTCTTATTGTATTGTGGCAGTAAGCACATGTGTAGCACACAATTTGTTTGCTGATCATAACCTAGGCTGTATATGTAACTCAACTTTGGTTGCTTCCAACTATGAATTACTCAAGAATCTACTTAAAATGTGCTGGGTAAGGAAGGTTTAGGAAGCTGTGCTGCAGCATCTGACTTTGTGCCATTAGCAAAAATGAGTTGTGGCAAGGGAAGTGCATGGGAAGTGTGTGGTTGTATATAATCTGTGTGTGAATGGATGTATGTAAGTGCACACTTGAACTATACATCTGTGTGTATCACTGTCACAGAGGGTTGGACTTTATTTTTATTTTAATACAACATTTGCAAGGTGCATCATTGCTTTGGAAAGACTTGGTATAGAAGCTTCCAGTTTCAGTCATATATAATTAAAGTTTCTAGTTTTAGCCCTAGCTCTGATGTAATGTCTAAACTTCTTCCTTCGGCAATAAACCTAGATACCCACTGCCTGCTGGAGCTCACTGTTACTTGAGGGCAAACTTCCTTCTAACATATAAATGTAATAATTTACATTTCTGCTGTGTATAAGATGCTTTCTATGAGCAGTATATGATAGAACTGTTTGGTTTTTGAGTTTGCTTTCTGTAATGTGTTTGTCTGTTTGGTCCTAAGTGAAACCAGTGCTTGTCCTGAACTCAACCTTCCTCTGGGAGTTTTGAGGAAGTAAGGAATAGGATTGTATTTGGGAGAGAAGGAAAAAAAGCATGTGTGCCTTAGTCTGATCTCTAACACATTTAGTGGTGTGCAAAAGGTAGATGAGGTCTAGATGTCTTTAAGAATTAATGCACAGTTAGAGGATGTGCATTCTCCAGCGTGGCAGGAACATCTTAATTTCTTCATTAAAGTCTTGCTTTGAGATGCAAGCAGCCCGTTAAGGAGCGTTATGAAATTCCTGAGCTCAGTTATTTTGTGCCTGCACCAAGCTCTTGTCAGTTTTCCACTGGAATTCCGAATTTCTCAGGGGCAACCAGGATCTAATTTGAGAAGTCAAGTGTGTTCACAGGTGTATGAGATTGGGCTTCCTCTGCCTATCCTGGCCTTAATGCAGTGTAACACCTCAGACTCTAGCCATGGTGAACCTAGTTAATTAGTGTTGAAGAGTGTCTTCTTTTGCAAGACGCAGAGTTTTTATCTATGTAAATTACTTTCTTTGCAACTAATAAATTGAATAAATTATGCCTTTTCCATGCAGTGCAGTGGGGCTCATAAATACTTTGTGCAGTTAGTTGGTAGTTTCACTTGACTGTCTTTCCCATTTCTTTTTTTAATAATCCTAGTAAGAGTGAGGAATTCAGTCACTTTTAATAGTTCCCAAAAAAGCACTAGAAGGCATGTTTCACAGCTGTGAGCTGCACACCAGTGTCCTGCCTGTGGAATCCACCTTGATGCAATCAAGAAAAGCCCCTTTCCATGGTCCATGGTGCTGCTACAGATAAATTGGTTACTTGGATAAGGACAATAGTGCTTGCACAGTCAGACACTGCCTTTTCTCTCCATTTGCACTGCTCTGTTCTGTTTCACACCCTGTTGCTGTCCTTGCTGGACAGGGGGTCCACTGGTCCAGCTGAGTGAGCTTGTGGGGAGCTTTAGTTCTTCAAAGGATAATGCAAATAATAATTGAATTAAAGAGCTGCTGTCAACATTACGAGGTTCTGGCAAGGATAACTGATGTTAGCACTCTGCCTACAGGCACACAGATTTCAGAGTGGACTTGGACAAGGAGAAGCACATCAGGGTTCCAGAATACTTGAATGTTTCCTTTCTCTCTGTTTGTGGGGTATATTTCTTATCCCCTTACCAAACTAAGCTGTTTAACCAGGAGTTGTCCATCTGGGAACACAGAGTAAATTAAACTCTGAAGAAAATGAATAAGGCATAAATATAGCCAGGGTTTCTGGGGTTTTTCCATAGTAGCTGGGATAGATGGAGGAAAGATTAAGTATTTTATATATTTTTATAAGCTGATTCTTTAACAAATCTTTGATGTATCATTTAAAAACTTTAAAATCCCATTCTAATAAAAATGTTTGTCTTCAGTTATGCAAATTTTGTATTACAAATCAAAATACCAAAAATACTTGAGGCTCTTAACAGGGTTTTTGCTGCTCTTAGGGCAGGGTGCAGCTGTCACCTGCTCAGATGTGACCTGGTGCATTAAATCAGAGCAGTACCTTGAATGAGAAGGAAGCAATAACCTTCAGTGAGATGCATAACACAGTCCTTGGCTGGTGCAAGCTCTGAGAGATCAATTTTTAGTGATCAAGGCAGCCCCCAAAGGTCTTTGCTGTAGTTGTACCTGAATTACATTTATACAGGCAATAATAGCTGCTGAATCTTGATTTTTAAGTAACTTTAATATCAACAATAGTCTCCCAAACACATCTTTTGAGGAACATTGTGATGGAAAAAGGCAAGTGCCTGTGCTGGTGCAGGTCCTGGCACTGAGAGGAGGAGGAAGAGGATTCTGGACCAGAGTTTCCTCAAGTCCTCATCCTTTGGGCTGCTCTGATTTACAGCAGACATTGATAAATAATATGACCTTTACAGTGAGGTCTCCCTGAGGTCATAAAATTTGCATTTCTGAGGATAATTTGCAAAAATTCTGGAACAATTACTGAAGTAAGTAAAGAATACTCAGATACTCCTTTCATGAGCTGTACTTTTTGCACTGCTCAGAGATGCTTTGACCTTCTAGTTTATTACAAGCCAGGAAAAGTCAATATTTCTTAGCTTGCCAAGTTGGAGGAATTTTAATGAGTTATTGAGTCAAATAGGTAATCCTCCAATAACAGACTTTTTTCCCTTTCAGATTTACTGTGATAAAAACAAAGGCTTAATGGGGACCAGGAAAAATGGGGTTTTGTTAGAAACTCTTGCTTGTCTCTGTGCACATGCTTTTAACCCCTTGACCACAAGTGGATGAAATGGAGCTTCGACAGTGGGACATGTACTGGCATGAAATGCTGGGCAGGCTGGGGCTGTGTTGATGTTGGCAGGGAATTTAACATGATAAAATGAGATTGAAGTAGCTGGTACTATTGCTTCTCACATCTTTTTTGCATGTGATAAGGGGCTGGATGAAATCTGGTCTGTGCTCCTACATTGAGCTGTTTGCCTGCTGGAAAAATCTTTGAAGGGAAAAGCCCTGGGTGTACCTTGGAAGGTGTTGTGGCTCCCCAGTTGCTGTAGGGCGTGTTCCACTGGGTGCTGCAGCACATCTGGAGTAGTGCTTGCACTTGAACATCCTCTGAGAGCTGGCACACACTAAAACCTTTCCAAGAGCCAAACCTGCATGTGGTAAACGTAGAGAAAAGGGATTTGCTTCCAAACCATCTTGCTGGTCCAGACTTGAGTCCCTGGCTCTGGGGCAGACTGAGTCTGGCTGTTGGAAGGCTGTGCAAGGCTGGCAGTGGGTTTTTGCACAAGGAAAGGTTTGATCCTGGTATAATTGTGCCTTTTGCAGTTCCCCTTTGTAATGGTCAACTTCGTGAACTCCAGTTAGTGTAGAATGATCTAATTTCCTGAAACTCTCTTCATTGAGTGTAATGCTAATTACTGCTCTGAGTAGTGGCTTGTTTGGAAGTGCCCTGTCCTGTGTGAATTTTAGTAATGTTCTCTGTAAACCTTTAAGTGAGGAAACTTCAAAAGCAGAAAATGTTATAGCACAAAGGCAGCCCTTTTAATAATATCAAAGAGCAGAATAATATTCAGAATAGCATATCCAGTGAATTCTTAAAAGTAGTAAAAAGTTATTTTTCACTATATGTCATTACTCAGAGTGTAGGAATAGGTACTGGTGGTCCCTTTTATGATGACTAGTGTTTTCCCATTTTTCATTCCCCTCAGTGATATTCAGTAAATTCCTTTCTGTAATAGTCTTTCTTTGGGGTTATTTTTTCAAAAGCTCTCAACAGTTGTTTGCCTGAGCTTTCCTTGAAACCTGTGTGAATTTTAGCCTGGAGGATATTCTGCCTCTGGGTGGGAGCTTCTGGCTCCCAGGGTGAGAGCTGGACTCTAAGTGTGCACAGGAGCTGAGTGCTGACGCTTAGGGCACTTCGCTGAGTAGTGTGGCTGGAGTAGCGTAGGGTTTCAGAATTGCTTTCTGAATGTAACTCATGGTCAAAGTGTGGGCACTGAAATGCTCTCACTGGGTTTTATTCTCGGCTCTAGTTTTGTGAAGAGCTAAAAGAACAAAGGGTTATGCGTCCATCACTTTCCAGTGAAGCACTTTGGCACAGGCTCAGTGTTGTGATAAGGGAGAGCAGAGCTGGAGGTCTGGGAGTGCAGATCTGAGCACTCTTAAAGCTGCTGCTGTTCGAAGGGGAGCGTTTTTTACCTCCAAAACCTTTGTTGCTCCTGCCAGGGCTGTGCTGCTGCAGCAGCTGTGTGGCCTGTTGAGGTGAATGTGGCTTACGGTGGCGTTTTCCGCTGTCCCCAGGGCTGGCGGGGCAGGACGGGCTGCGGGCGCCCTGCGAGGGAAGGTCCTGCGGCCGGGGCAGCAGGTGTGTGCTCAACAGGGACACCCAGCAGCCCGAGTGCCGCTGTGTCGAGGACTGCAAGTCCAGCTACATGCCCGTCTGCGGATCTGATGGCAGGTTCTACGAAAATCACTGTCAGCTGCATCGCGCCTCGTGCCTGCAGAGGAAGAAGATCTACATTATCCACAGCAAGGACTGTTTCTTCAAAGGTAGGGCGTTGTTGAAAATTAATTCTTCTGTAGAGCTTTCATCACTGGTTGTAATCCTGGTAAATGGCTGAATGGTATGTTTTATTTCTAAGAGCTGAATTTTTCAGGGATGATTTATTCCAGGACAGCAGAGAACATACACAATGTTTTATGCAGCTATTAAGCCCCTGAGTGCCATTGCCATGCAAAATGTAATCATACTGGGAACTGGTAAATAATTAACATCACTGTATGCATTGTGTGCCCTGTAGTTGTGCTCCTCAATACTTTCTGCTGCTAGTGTAATAACTTTTTACAATCCAATTCATTTGAAAAGGCTTTGAACAAGACAAAGATGTTAAGAAAAAGTAGATGGTATAAACAAAAGTTTGCTGCAACATTGAGAAATGAAAACCTAGTTAGGCAAATGACACAGGCAAAGGAAAGGAGCTGCTTAAATGAAATAAGGAATGGGGATATACTTTTAATAACTTTAAAGACAGTTCTGGTTACCAGTGGGATGCATACATCTGGAGTAGCTCTTTTACTGGTTCAGTAGCAAATTTCATTATCATCCTTGCACCAAAGCCAGTCCCAAATCTTTCCCATTAATATTTTCTATGCCATGTACCATCCTGTCATCAAGGGAGACTGCAGGAGTAGGAGCATGAGATAAAATGGCAGGGAATGGAAGAAGCTGTAAATTATTTTACTTCTAATGAGAGGCCTCATAAAGGGCCTCACTCGAGTATATCTTGAAAGCTCTTTGTCAAACATGACTCTGTATACCTACAGGAGGATTTGAGTGGGTTGTTGCAAATATATCCAGTGACATTTACGTGATCAGATATGAAAATAATTCTTTTATCTTCAGCTCACTTATGCCCCCAAGGAGGTTGGCTGTATCCATCCTGAGTTCTTTGCTAGCATGATGTTAGAAGAGACTATTTAAGAAACAGGAACCCATTTGAAGAGGCTTATTAATATGTCCTTGTGATACCCTTTGGAGATAGAACAGCAGTGCCATTCTTGTGTCTTGGAGAAGACATTGTGTCTTTTTGTGACTAAATTTTTTTCCAGTGGTATGTAGGCACTGCTTTGCAGTGCATAGCGAAGTTTCATTTGTTCTGAAGATCTGGCTGTGGAGAGGACAACACAGCTGGTCAGAGCATTGATTTGGTGAGCACCCTGGGTTAGTTTGTCACAGTCAACCTCTAAATTTACCAAAGTAAGTAATTAGGATCAATAGACCTTGTAGGAAGTAAATCATGGAAGGGGTCACTCAAAGGCATATTTCAAGCTCATGAGTGTATCAAGGCAAAGAGGGATTTTTTGCTTGTCACATTGAAAAGGAGCATCTAAAAAGGACACTTGTGCCTTGCTCCAACTGCTCTGCTTTTGCCTCTGGCTATCAAGTCAGATCAGGGTATGGATCAGGCTGGAAACAGTGTCCATCCCTGAGTAAGGTGCAGGTGGCCTCTGCAGCATGAGAAACCTTGCAAAGAAAGAGAAAATCTTAATTTCAGAGATGCTCAGCAACACCCACTCACTTCAGGGGATTTTCTTCCCCTGACTACCAAAAACAGTCCTTGGGTTTTTCATTCTTGACATCACCCACCTTTTTATGACAGTGTGTCTGCCCTGGGTTTTTATTTGTTCCTTATCACGTATAGTGTTAAAGAAAATGAGTTCTTATTGCAGTAATCAGCCCCTGCAGTGGCTGTATTATGCGTAATGATAGAATGTCACGCTTGAATACTTCCCTGAACACACCATGAAATGATGTCAGAAAGTAGGAGTTTTGTGTCCCAGTTTAAAGTAACCCCCGAACTCTTGCCAGGGAGCACTGCTTAAATCTGCCTTTCAGCGGAATAACAGCTTTATGGAAGGGAAGAAAGAAACAAGCTCACTTCTCTTCCCACGTGAATAAATAAAAATGTACTTCACACCTCTGTCGGCAGAGATAACACACAGAAAAAAGTTTTCCTTAAGTGGGGAATAATCCCACAGAATGGGACTCTGTAGAAATAATTGGCTTCATCCCTTTTTTCTACCGTGCAGTTCCTGAGTAACCTTCTGTGTATTGCTCTGTTTACTGGTACTTTAGTCTCCTATTTCTAAATCAAGAATGATAGTGGTTTCTCTTAAATCAAAATTTTCCATCAGCAGTTAAGGTATGGGTTTTTAAACACCATTATAAGTGTAACATGAAATGTTAAGACTTTGACTGGAGAAAAACCTTTAAGGTGAAAAATCACAGAATCCCAAAATGGTTTGAGTTGGAAGTGACCTTAGTGAGCCTCCTGTTCCAGCCCCATTGGTGTGGTCAGGGACACCTTGCACATGTTCTCTGTTTGCTTTCGATCAAGTAGATAATTCAATTATTTGGGTACAGTCAGGCTGAGGAGTAGGCTGCTTCATGGTTTTTGTCCCTGTTGACTTGTTCAGTTAAGATTTAAATTCCTGTGTAGAGCTGAGGGACACTGCAGGCTGGATGTTTGTGTGTGTACTCTGCCAGTTTGCCCAGTTATCAGTGGCAAACTGGATGGACTTAAGGTAAGACAGAGATCAAATATCCTGATTCTGCTTTGGCTGAGCTAGGCCTATCCACAGTAAACTGACAATAAAGCAAACAGCAGAGATTTGTTTTCTTTTGTGTATTTTGGGAAAGGATTTTTTGATCTTTTAGCATATTTATCAGATGTGAAGTGCTTTGTAAATACTAGTGAGTAGCAGATACTCCTGTGTAAGTAGAAACATTTGCATTCTGTACCAGCAGCAGTATTAGGAAGAGCAGAAGAGAATTTGTCCCTGGGAAAATGACTGATTTCTCCTTGGTCCAGCCTGGAATAAAATGGCTCCTTGAAATCTTGAGAGTCTAAAACATTGAGAAACTTGTGGTAATGTGAATGAAGCAACGAGAGATCTCAGCAGGAGTGATCTCCCCAGGCTTTCTCCTTCAGCCTCTATTGCAGCTCAGTTCCCCATACACAAAACTATAAATGCAGTCCCTTTTCCTCAGTTGATAAAGGAAATAGGTGGGAAATTTCACTTGGGAGTTTGAAGTCACAAGGGAAATACTGTGAAGCAGAAGCCCTAAACTCAGAGATCTCAGGAGAAATGTCAATCCCACTCATAGCTGTTCACATTCTGCTTGATCTGGTTGTCCTTCCTAGTGTGAAATGCAGTTTGGTTTTCCCATAGGAAAATGTTCTATTTAGGACTCTTCTACCATGTGGCAGGTTTTTTTTGTTTTCTATGTTTTCACTATTTTGTGAGTTTCTGTAGTCATTTGATTGGGGTGTTGGTGATTTTTACTGGGTCAGAATATACATAAATATAAAAGTGCTTTTACTGTGTGCTGAACTGGTGAGGAAAAAAGTTTTTCTTCCCCAAAAGCTCTCCCAATAGTTATGAAGACTGGAAAGATAGCTGTGCTCATAATGACAGTTGTCCCACGGACGTCCAGAATGAGCACTTGGCCTGAAAATGTTCCTATTTGAATAAATGCCTTGGATATAATGAGGTTATATCATTTTAACACAGTATTTTGGACTACATTTTGCTTTTTCATAGAAGTAGTCCCCTTTTTTTCCACTGCTTTTCATTTTCCTTTCCTTTTGACTGTCTACACCCACTCTGTCTCTTCCCTCACTTTTCTCTTATTATTTTTGGCCAGAGATAGCTGTGCAGACACTGTTCAATAATTTTCTTCCCTTACCTTCTCCCTTGCACCAGAAACATCAGAGCAATGCACTTCCCTAGTAGTTTGCATACATTAGAGAAATCCTGTTTAGAGATGTGCTTTTCCATTTTCAGGATTTAGGAGTAATTTTTCCCTTCCTTTCTTTCTCTTCCTGCTTTTTTTTCTGCTTGATCAGCAATCTCAAAGCTCCTGTGCATCAGCCAAGCCCTTGCTAGAGGGAGGCAGCCATGTTTGCTTGGTTGAGCTCATTCCTTATTTTCTGTGGTTCTGACATCCTCTCTTTATCCAGGTGGATTGGGTTCTTTTTAAAAAGCTCAGCTTTTCTTGCCAGCCTGTACAGCAGCTTCGTGCTGCAGCTGGTCAGACTGAGTTTGTGCTCCAGCATGAATTCAATCCAACATAGCTGACCAAATTCTTGAACTTCCCATTATGTAGATGCACTATACCTATGTTGACTACTTAATATGTTTTTTTTGTCCATTTGGTCCATTTGTACCAAAGCTCTAATTTTATGAAATCTGACAGAATTTTATGCAGAGAGACAGTGTGCTGTAAAAGCATGTTCATGTCTGGTATTCCAGTTCCATTTTCTTCCTTCCTTCCTTCTCTGCTGAAATGTCAATATTAATTTTTCAATAATTTTGTCCCATTGCTTAAAATATGTCTTTTTGTTTTTCTTTTAAGCAACTATCTGGCAGTAATTTTCCTCCTTATACAAGGTCGTTTCTTGTCCCATAATAAATCATAATTTTGTACATATTTTGTACAGAATTTTAAAAGAAATCTCTGTGGAAAACCACCTGCCTTTCTCCTTTCTGTTGCACACACACAGTCCCACTGTTTGGTTTGAGCCTTACACGGTTGCTCAGAACAATATTTCATGCCATGAATTTATATATAAAGTTTTCTGGAGTGTGCATGCCTGTGTGCAGGGTTGCTTTGCATGTGCACAATTGTGAGAGTGTTTGCACATTGACAGAACCAGAATAATGTGTCCTCTCAGGACATTTATGCACAGGTAGTGTAGCAGAGGATGGAACCTGGATCTGCATGGAGAGAATGAGAAGCAAAGGGCACAGCTGGAACCAGATGTTCAGCCTGGTGTGAGGAGATGGCTTTCCCTTGGAGACTGCTTGCGTGCTGGGACAGCCTGCCCAGTGCCCTCTCCATCTCTGGGAGCTTTCAGAACCTGGCTGGGAACAGCTCTGAGCAACCTAGTCTGACCTGCACTAAATGTTTTGATGGAAGCCTCTTCCAGCCCATATCATCCCATAATCTTATGATTCCATGACCTTAGGTAATGGCATCTTTCATT